TCCAAATGATTCCATTACTCAAGAACAATACCTAAAGGATGTTAACTTTGAATCTGGACATTACTGGGTGCGACTTCCGTGGAAGCTCAACCGTCCAGAATTATCTACTAATTATAGGATGGCGTATGGACAGTTAGCGGGCCCAGCTCTGCGAAATGAGCAAGACACCAAAATTGTTGACTGCTTATAATGATATAATTAATAAACAGTTAAATAATAAATTGTTCTTACTTTAGGCGACGATAAATGCATAGGTGCACAGGTGGTCCACTGAGCGAAGTAATTGGGTAAATAATCTTATGTGGACAATTTCCGGGTGTGACGTCAACTGAAGAGGAACTAATGAGGATATGTGAAGGGGTTAATGAAATAATGCAGTAAGGTGCTGGGACTGACTTGGGATACTGAGAGAGACTTGTTATTGTTAAAGTCTCATAATTCCAGTATGCCCAATAAATTAATCCAGGGAGCATAGGCTTATGCCCCTGAGAGAATGGAACAGTAATTAGTCCATTTTGAGGGATCAATAAATATGGATGGCCATGGAGTTGAAGTGCCTATATGCAGTAATGTGCTGGGGCTGACTTGGGATACTGAGAGAGACTTGTTATTGTTAGTCTCATAATTCCAGTATGCCCAACAAATTAACCCCGAGAGCATAGACTTAGTGTCACACCTTACAATAAGAGGGAAATTGTTAATACCAGAAGCATGGAGGCTTGAGTGTGCTTTGGGTGGAGCCCTACCTGAGGAGTTAACAGGTGGAAAGAATTAATGGGTGATTATGTAAATACCAGTGTTGGAGTTCCCAAGCCAGGTGGCCAGTGAAGATGGGAAAATTGTACTCCACATTATGTAAGTCGTCTAGCAACGACCTCCGCCCGGCTGCAGTGTGGAAAATATTTTAATTTTCCGAAGCTATAGCGCCTAATAGGTGTTTAATGTGTCGATATGAGTCAAAAATGTATTTGACAATAGGACAGAACCAAGAGTTCCCTTTGCGCATGAGCGGATGTGTGGGGGTAGAGGTCGACTCGGGGCATGGGGGGAGGCGGGAGTGTTTTGAATGTAGTGAGGAGGCTGGGAAAGCATGGAACCAGGAAATTGGCATTCACGGCGGCCTAAGGATTAATATAGGCCTCATTTCATAATAGGAAGTGTCGTGACTGTCCCTGGTGAAGAGTGAGGGAACGTGATTGACGGCACCGCTGTAAATAAGGTGGTAAAATGAGTGAATAATGGTAGGACCGGGGATGATTGGCGCGTTGCCATGGACTGTGTCCAGGGGAAAATTACCCGTGATTTAATCATCACTCATCGGTCTCAAATCTTAATGGAGTGGCCTCCAATGTGTATAATAATTATGAGACATTAAACCGTCTTGTAAATCGTAATGTAATCAGTGATAATAACACTAAGTTAAGGAATCGTTGAAGCGATATGAACTGCCATTCTCAGAGTGTGTGTGCACATGTTTACCTCGTTGTTCCTGTCCCGAGGATAGTGAAGGCTTTATGGAGTCACGACTTCTAAACCGGGACAAACCGACGGATACCTCGTCCTGCTGGAATAAGAACCGTGTTGGTGTAGCAGGACATCGAAATGAGATGGTGAATGGAGGAAATAAGGAGTATCAATCACCCACAGTTAAGTAACCCTTCTAGTTATAGCAGACTGATACTGGCCAGTTAGGTATGTTGTAATTGGATAGGTTATGAGTGATCCAGCTACATCAAGTGACCACCAGAGAATATCTGTTAAGTGGTGAGATTATGTACAAGTGTTTTCCTTGATGGATATATCCATGTGTAACCTACCCCCCCCCCCTTCATTCAGTTAAACTAATATAATCTATACAGTCCACAATTAATTAGTAGCGCCGTACTTGAGGGTGCTACCCAATTTATACTGGTCTCGGATAGATATGGATAAGATAGGGTCGAGGGGCCACCTGCAGTGACCAGAGGTGGTTAAGTTTTCTCACATGTCTACACGGGTGACTACGGTAAACAATACAGTTGTTGTCTCCCAAGGAGATTACTGGTATGCATGTAATGTTGATGTATGTACAAGTAATCACCCTAGAAAATTTTCCACAGGTGGCTCGTATATAGAAATTGGTGCAGGGATCAACAACTGGGCTAACACTTTTCAAACTGAACTGTTTACTGTACTTATTACACGAATGTGTCTATGTCTCAAAAGTTGACACCTTAATTGTGATTATCACCTATAAATATCCTTAATTCTAAGAGTGCCAACTGTAACACGCTCCTGTCAGAAGCTAGACACGAGTATGGAAGAATTGTAAACAGTGAGTTAGAGTACAGTTTTTGTGGATTCCCCCCCCCCCCCACACAAAAAAAAAACTCAAATGTATAACAGAACTGACAAATGAACGTCTTCAAGGAAGGAAATTATAACTGGGTTGCTAATTAGTAAATTTTGCCAGAGGAACCAGTGTCACGTCCTGCGTTTTTTGAGCTGGAATGCGATGAAAAAGATATGAATTCAAAGAAAATTCACAAATATTAAAATAAAACTCGAGTATATTAGCCACAGTGAAGAAAATATCCTGACTGGTTATTGTTACTAAGTCATACTACCCTTAATTTGACTAAATACAATTATAACTTGCTAAATATTGTGCATAAATAACTTACAGCAGCACTGCAATGTGTTTGCGACAGAATTTACGACTCTATAATAATATTAATGGTGTACAGTACCGACATGTTAATGAACGAGACACGACCAACACTTGGGTATCTATTGTGAAGACGTTTCACTGCATACGGTTGGTGGAACTTCTTTAAATTTTGAAAGAAACTTGCTCTCATGTCACTCGTCTAGGAATCAAACTCGGATTCCGTTCAGTTACCTGGATGGTGCTTCGAGGGTCAATCTCCTCAGGGAAAGTTCCTTGACGCTGGTGAGGGGCTCTTGATCTAGGGAATTGGATTTGTGCTCCAGTTTCCTGAAATGAGCCTGAATATCTTCCATCCCCCCCCATGTGCGCTGTATAATCTTACGGGGTTAGCGTTCCTCATAATTATAATACGAGGGTAAACGCCCTCGCGGCCTGGTCCACGCGGTGGATCAGGACCTGATCAACCAGGCTGTTAGTGGTGGTCGCACGCAAACTGACGTACGAACAGCCCGGCTAGTCAGGTACTGACTTAAGGTGTCTGTCCAGTTCCTTACAGACAGCCAGGGGTCTATTAGTAATGCCCCTTATGTATGCTGGGAGGCAATTGAACAGTCTTGGGCTCCTGACACTTTTTGTTGATAAATAGGTTAAAACCGACAATTTGAAGATTGAGACACTTCTGCAACATATGGGAATCTTTATTGAAAACACGTTTCACCACACACTGGCTTCATCAGTCCAATACAAAGAAGAAAGGTGTAAGGAGAGGGGGAGTTTGAGGTAATCAGTCCCTCAGCTGGAGTCGATGTGTTCAGTTCATCAATCTTGTAGAAAGTACAGTATAGGGTTAGGTTAGGTAAGGTTCGTCAGGAAACAGAACAAGTGTTTCCTAATGCGAGTCTGTCATAAGATGACCCGCCTTTGGAGCTTTGGTCATCTGACCGAGGCCTTCCGCTGGCTTACCGGTCCACCCCTTTAAAAATAATATAATTATATATAGAGCGGCTACAGTATAGGGCCGTAGACGTGGCTTATATATTGTCAGGTGAGGCGAAGCAGGAGGAGGCGGGGTCATAGTGGAACCATCCACAAGTTTATGTAGATCTTCATCCAAAGACTGGACAAGTGTTGAAGAATTCTTTGTATCAAGATCCCATGATGTTGCAGTGTCTGACAGATGTGATAAATGGCTTAAAACCGACAAGTTGAAGATTGAGACACTTACGCGGGACCTCAAGCAATTCTTGAGGTCCCGCAAATTCTCCTGTCCCAGTTCTTCAGAAGGGGACATTAACACAAGTTCCTATTACAAATTCAGGCCGAAACACCGCAATTTGGCCTCCGAGAACGCCCGATCACATTGCACACCTCAATCCAGAGTTCACGCATTAAATTCAATATGGCGTCTCCTCCAGCGTCTCGATTGGCCGTTCTACACTCCCATTCCTCGAAGTTTCTCGAAGGGTCCAACTAGCATCACATTTTAATACGCAATTATTATATTCATTTATATGTTTTACATTTAGGAAATTATGGAAAAAGAATGTCCATAGCACATATACAACCAATGTATGTATATACAATGAGGATTTCTTTTAATCACTATTTCTGGTAATTAACGTATTCTTGATGTTAATGTATAGGTGAGTCAGCGTCCTTGGTTTACTTACATACCTGCCTGTGTGACTTGTAGGTTTAGCGCTTCTGTTTGATTATAATAATCAGTTTACACACTGAGGGTCCGGGATCGATTCCTGCACGGGTGTAACGTTAGGCATGTTTCCTTACACCTGCTGCCCTTGTTCACCTAGTAATAAGTAGGTTACCTGGGTGTTAGTCGTCTGGTGTGGGTTGCATCCTGGGGTTGCCCCAAATGCTCTGCATAACCAGGGACTTTCTATATAGTATGCCAATGATTTCGGCCAGGTCTGTAAAAGTTGTAGAATGAAATCGTAGAAAGATAACAAACAATGACCCACGTGCAGGTGACGAAAATAAATCATAGTACAGTGTTTGGCTTTGTAGATTACTTTAGGTTATGGTTTCAGAATTTATTACAACTATATATCCATAATAATATTGTGAGATGGATGTATTAAATAGCCATAATTAGTTCTAGTTCTAACCTTATACAGTAATATGTAGATCAGGCATCCACACATTATAATGTAACTAATTTCGTAATAATGAAACCACGTAATAACCATGCGGTTAATGCAAACACTTTAAAAATGTAAAACACTAGTCTGTAAAAAATCAGTGTATTTTCTTGAACAAATTTTTATTTATTTAGATAACTTAAGTAACCTGAGTAAAGGGTTAATGAGGTATATATTTTTTGGAGTGGCGCTCGGCGCGCCTCACTTGCACTGTGGGTGCCAATGATGTTTCACACAACCTTTGTTGTTTCCATTGTTTTACCTAATAATTTGCACTGTTTTGCCCCATTGAGGAGTAATTAAATAAGGCAGTCACTCCTCAGACCACACAACTCTTGCTTCCTTCCACCACAATAGTCATGAGATCAGAAATATTCTTACAAAGTTAGGTTTTCCTTATTGTTTTGGCGACAGCGCCATGTTCCGGGAATGACAAGCAGGCAGTATTCTCCATCACTCCACTAAAATACCACCAAATAGGTTTTGGACTAAGTAATTGACAACGGTGCCCCGAGGATACGAGAAATAAAGGTATGGGGAAGATGATATGCGTTGTCACAACAATTTTCTGCCTTCAGTAAGGGATAACATGGGCTGTCGACTCTTTCTAGGAACAAACTAGTCTTATGCACTTTTTTTTTGTTAGAATCACATTAACAGGAAACAGAGTTTAGGGTAATATGGCAGTACAATACAGTACCTAGAAAGCAAGTCGTATTATTTATGACGACAGCTTTACTTAATAATGCTGTCAGGCTGCTGAAGTTTTAAAACAGTCCATGACTCGAGCCTTCAGGCACTCAGTCTAGAAGGTTTCATATGAGAAAATTAATTTCCCCAGACAAGTGCCTTATCTTCCCACTGCGGTACTATGTATGGTAATCCTGAAAATAAAGTATAAAGCAACAGAACTATCCTGAGGGTTGGTTGTAGTGCTGTGCTGGCCATGAAGCAAGCAACCTTAGGGTTATTTAAACCAAAAGGATTATTAACCTAATATAACCCAGCAAAGCCAGGTAAAATGGCGTATTTCCAGTGAGGGTTTTCTTAAAAATATGACCCATTATAGCCATGAGTGGTCCTTAGTTCATATCTTGAAAGACTTTGCAGATTCAAGGATAATTTTGTATTAGACTTCTTTCAAGGAAATGCCTTGGTGCTGGTGAAGGGCTCTTGTTGCAAGGATTTATAGCTACTATCCTATTCCTTGTGCCAAACCTGATTATCTGTCATTCCTCAGGGGCTGTATAGCTCTTATACTTTATATGAATATAGTGTATTCTAGACTACACATCTTGATAGGCTCAGTGTTTATATCATGTCTAAATTTTAAGTACTTTTAAAGATTTTTAGCCTAAATCATATACTGTCATCTTTGTGCAATATATATGAAGTAGCAGGTTAGTAGACAGCAGCTAAGACGATGACAGTGACTTTATTCAGATTATTAAACCAGTGGTGTCAATAGCCTAATGGATTGCAGATTTTTATGAATGTTTTTGTATGCTGTGCTAATTACCACCTTGTACCATCAGTGTATCCTGTAAACTTATGTACCATTTTGCATAATATACTGTAAACATTTATGTATAAAAGATGGGGTGGGAAGAGAAGTAATTATAGTATTGAAACAGCTTCAGAAATTCAGTAAACTAAAATATTAACATACTTTGGAGTAATAGGATTTACTGTAATGGTTATTTATCCATGATAAAATCGTTAAATTTGTCAGTGTTGCATACTTATAATGAATTATTTGTATAAAATGCTGTGTGTTAATTAATTCAACTGTAATACTGTAACATCTACCAGAATGCCAGAGGCGTTAAATTGTTACTATTTTTTTGTATTTCTGCTGTTTGTGTAAGATTAATGATTATAAACTTGACTTTCGATTATTTTCACTAAATAAATCTCTGAAGGTTAACAGATGTACCAAATTATCAGATTTGTAACAAGAGTAAAACCTGATATCCCTTACTTGTGTGATTACCCTTCATTTTTATTCGTTGTGTAATTGTCAGGTTACAATTTTAATTGTCATTTCTCTTTTTAAAATCCTTTGTCTTTACCATCTGACACCTGTAGAGTCCTTTGAAGCCTTGTATTTCTGTTCTTCCTATCTCTTATTTCTTCCCCCAACATTATGAGGTCCCTATCATTCAGATCTTCCCTATTTCCCTTCAGTTTCTGAAGTCTTATTTCTTAACTTTGAACTCATGGTTACTCAGCCTTTATCATCTCAGTCACACTTACATGCTACTGATGTGTTCACTGATGGCTATAGTCCACTAAGTGGAATATATTGCCTTTTTCCTGACTGTGATTCAGAGTTGGCTGTGTACTCGCCTAATACCAAATCCCAAATTTGCAGGGTTTATGTCCACATAAATTTTTTTGTCAGATTTGGGCTTTTTTATTAAAATGGTCATAAGGGATGAATTTCCAGAATGAAGAGAGATTTGGGCATGGAACATCTGTTGAGTATGTTTTAAACAGTCCTTTGATCAAGGTAAGTTCCTTGTGCCAATGATGGGCTTATGATCCACGATCCCATCCCTGGTGTCTCCTATCACTGATCTTCCTTGATCAAAATCCTATGGCTAGTTTTCAATATATGGGTTGTGTGCAAAGGCAAAGAAAGGGGTAGCATGTACAAGCCTATGGAGAATGAAAGCTATTTTCAAGAGGCCCTTCTATAAAAGCATTGTATAATGCTTTTACTAGAGGTTTAACTACAGTATTTTCACATCAAAATCAAAATAAAAAATTTATTTCTTTGCAAAGGTTACAGTGTTTGTTAACATTTCATAATTGGATTGGTACAAAGAAAGCCACTATCATGCCGAGGCATTTCGGACAGACTTAACCTAATACTTGAAGACTACTTATGTCTAGACAGGTGAAGAGTGGTAGATTACAAATATACAGTACAGTGGTACCTCAGGATATGAACAGCTCAAAACTCAAACAATTATGTAAGCGTATTTATCTAAGTGCTTTTGTAAGTGTATTTTTGGGGGTCTGAAACGGATTAATCTAATTTACATTATTCCTTATGGGAACAAACTCAGTTCGGTATCTGCACTCAAACAGCATTCTGGAACGAATTAAGTTCGTATCCCGAAGTATCACTGTATTTCACTCTATTATTAATATGAGGTAGTACAATTTATGATACAGACATACATTTTTAAGTTTGTAGTAATGGCTTAATAGTTAAGGGATAATAAAATATTTGGGAGAGTTGCTTTAAATTTGATTAGCATAGTGTGGGTACGGTTGTTATTGAGAGATGAGATGATTTTTAAGTATAGTCGTAAATTGATTTGTGGGCAGGGGACCTCTTGCTGTTTCAGGCAGAGTTCCCGATCTTCGGGCCCTTTATGGGCATTGCATTTTTGCATAGTGTGAGACGGACATGAGGGATGTCAAAAAGTGTTTTGAGCCTCGCATTATACCTGTGTGTTCTGTTGAAGCTGTCTAGGAGAAGTTTGAGTGGAGGGTTGTTATTGGAGTTTAATGTTCTGTATATATAGTAAGCACAATAATAAGTGTGTGTATTTTGTATACGTATTAAGTAAGTTCAAGCTCTTGAAGAGTGGTGGGGTGTGTTGTCTGGCGCAGGAGTTTGTGATCATCCACACAGGAGCTTTTTGTTGGGTTATTAAAGGTTTAGGATGATTGGCGTGGTAGATCCCCAAGCACTAATACCGTAGGTGAGGTGTTATAAAGTAAGGAGCACCATTTGGGGTACATAGTATCGTATCTTGGAAAGGATGCCTACTGTTTTGGAAATTTTCTTAGTTATATGCTGGATGTGGGTCTGAAATTTAAGATTGCAGTCAAGGTGGAGACCTAGAAATTTGCCCTCAGTGTGTCTTGCAATGGGCAAACTATTTATCAATATGTTTAATTGGATATTTAATACTCTGTTTCCAAAAAGCATAAAGTAGGTTTTGTCTGTTGAGAGTGAGTTTGTTGGTTGTCATCCAGTTTGACATTTTATGTAGCTCATTGTTTACGGTGTCACTGAGTATACCCGGGTTTGGGTGGGGGAAGACGTAAGTGGTGCCATCTGCAAATAGAACTCACTTAAGGAGTTGCAGTGCATTTGGGAGATCGTTGATGTACGTAAATAAGAAAGAGTAGAGGACCTAGGACACTTTCCTGTGGCACTCCAACAACTACAGGCTGAGTATTGGAGGTCATGCCATTTGTGTATACAAACTGGTGTCTGTCACTAAGATAAGATTTTAGGTAATTGAGAGTGTCCTCTGCGGCCATAATGCTCTAGTTTTAGGGGCAAGGTATTGTGGTTTACTGTATCAAAGGCTTTCCGTAGGTCTCTGAAGAGCCCCAGAGGATGTTCATTTTTTCAAGTGCTGTATATAGTAATTCAAACATCTGAATAATTTCATCATTTGTACTTTTTTTTGGCCTAAACCCAAACTGGCAGGGGTTCAGTATGTTATGGGATAGGAGTTAGGAGTAGATTTGTTTATGTATTATTTTTTTCAAAGACTTGAGAGCAAAGGCAAGTTAGATATATATTGGTCTGTAGTTATTTAGTTCTGTAGGATCACCTCCTTTTGAGGATCAGGGTGACCCTTGCTGTCTTGAGTATGAATGGGAATGTTGAAGATTTAGTAGACTTGTTAAATAGTGTTGCAGTAATGGGGGACAGCACATGAGCTGCTTTTTAGCCCTTTGACTGTCGAGACCCCAAATCCTGAAGTGTCCCTGTTGCAAAATATTCGGAAAATTTTTTTTATTTTTTATTATGAAATGGTAGAGAATCTTTTCCTGATGGTAATGACACCAAAAGTACAAAATCTTACGTTCTTGCAAATTTAAAGCGATCTCGGCAATATATACTTATCGGCAATTTCGCCCACTTTGACCCCAAATTTTTGGCCAGTTCCATTGTTCCAGTCAACCAAACTCATAGCTATTTCTTTAGAACTCCATTTGTTCTATCAACTGAGTACAAGAAACTCCCCCATAACCGATTTAAACCCTTACCCAATAAAATGGTCAAAAATTGGCAGTTGGCCAATTTCATGTAAATTAAAAGAGATGCCAATTTAAAAATAATGTCCAGAATAAAATAATGCAGACATTCCTGGCACCAAAATAACATTTCTCTGTTCATTAATCACGTTTCCAGGCCCCTCTTATATTACTCCTCTTTCTATTTTCAATTTTTATTCATTAAAAATAGAAGATTTACTGTTAGGCAAAACTACGCATTATGTAATAATTTTAAATAATGTCAACCCATTCGTGACTGCATATTAGAATGGCTAGTTGGACACATTGGATGATGACATCATTTGTTTTACTCTTGAACGTTGGCAAAAATCGAGCATTTCTGTTACTTGAACTCAAATTTCAAGGTCCTTTTTTATCATGAGACCAATCAAAATCATCATATTTTCTGTAATATGTCTTCCATTCTATCAAATGAGACCAAGCAAATGAGAATACAAAACCCTAAATACAATAAAGAAAATACACCTCAAAGTCTG